ATACAAGAATGATGTAGTATAGAGACAAAGTTAATCAGACAGCAACTAAAGTAAGATTGAGTTAGTAAGCTAGATGACGTAATATAGTTGACTAAAATGTTACAACTTAGGTCAGGATAGCAACAGAGGTAATTACAGGCAGAGACTAGGTAGAAGTGAAATTGAGCAAATAAATTGGATGACGTAACATGAATGACTAGAAATTGAGCGTTGTTAAAGTCACTAACAGTGGTAGTGAGGTGTAGAAATTAAATAGGGTGAGGGTGGAGAACAAGAAAGTTGAAAATGTAAAATATTACAATTGAGAAGACAAAATAATACTAATGAAGAGACAGAAGAAAAGATTAGGTAGAATTTACTTGTCGGCTAATAAGATAGATTACGTCCATTGCAAGTGTAGTGATTGAACGAACTTCTTCTGTATGCAGAGTTCAGGACTTAGCAAGTGAATCGCCATTGCTTCTGCAGTTTGAAGAAGTCTGATTCGTACACCTTTAGGGAGACTACTTCTTACTCTGTAGACGACTTTGAAGTTTGTTTGCGGTGTAGCTTGGTGTCCGGATTCTATCAGATGTTCTAAGATGGAACTGCGGGGGCATCGATTTTCTCCTTTGTTAAACCATGTTGGTAAGTGCTCGGTGATACGTTTGGAAAGCGAGCGCTGGGTACGCTGGAGCCAGGTATGTCGGCGATTGTACAGCTATGTGAATGAATTCGCCGAAAAGAGTCTCTTCGCTGAATGTCTTCTCTTTTTCATAAGATAACTTTCTATGAATTTTAATTTTGACTGACTTCTTATAATAACTGAACAGTTGTTTATTTGATGAGAAAACTTATAAGTATCACCAACAGGTAGCGCATTGTATGCAAGTGAGTAGTTGTATTTCTTACGCAATATGTTCCAAGAACGAATGAAAAGTGATCATTTCACTTGAGTTATTTAGAATTATGTGACTGTTCACTTCCAACATAAACCCATACCACTTGGCATGCTGTCGTGTTACATTCAATTGTTTGTGCTCGATCTGTAGTCTGCTAAGCAAATATCACTGTATAATAGCACTGATCCTGAGATATATTCCCATATTTCCAACGATTTGGTTGTTGTACGAATTCGGTTTACTAACTGTTCATTAGTTCATTAGTAAAATAAATAAATCTGAGTTGGAGGTTATTATCAAATTAGTTCATCAATACAAACTCCCCCCCCCCCATCCGCCCAAAAAAGAGTAGATTCCATTGCCACTGCTGATGAATGACCACCAAAATTACAGTACTTCCAGTAAATGGAGTTATTGTCATGTACTAAATTTTAAGGAATTTAAACTCTTTGAACAATTAACAATTGACTATGACCTCCTTAACTTAGACAAAACCCTCCTGGAATAGTGTCTCCACTGTGTGATATGTCTACAGAATAAAAACCATGCTGAATTAAAATTTTGAGTACAAAAAAAGACTGCTTGATGAAAATATGCTTTAAAACGAATTACTTACTGAATTCCATGATGAACTTGTGCCTATTCCACCAGTTGTATATCCAGTACTGGTGCCAATTTTGTTTGGTGATCTGCGTGGATACTGTGGAAGTCCTGAGTAGGAGGCGGCAGATGTACTACTTCCAGCAGTACTGCTAGAACCAGTTCCGCCAGTGCTACTACCACTGCCAACTCCACTGTTACTAGAAATACCTTGTGAACGACTTAAATACCATGATGGTTTCGATGTATCCGTCTAAATGGTAAAGATGTGAAAAAAAAACAGAAGTAAATTAAAACACTAACATTCACTCATTCAATCTATCTATCTTTTGTTACAAAATCCTAATGGTTTAGCAAAACATGTCATTGAATGCCAGATAACTAAACAGATGCAGTGTAATAATCGGTGAACTTACTACGGAATAATTCAGAAAGCTTTTTCTTGGAAGAAAATCCCAAAGCTGTATCTATCCAGCGTATTCACAATTCAGTTTGTTAGAATAAACTAGCCCACTGGAAACTATTATATTACTGTTATTAATTCATTCCGTTCCGAGTGGAAAATAGGGCTCCAGCCCCACAGTGCCACTGCATTCTGTTCTCCACGATCGTTTTCGTCTGGTTCCATAGCTGACCAAAAGCCTACATTTCTACTACACATCATCGCCTCCATGCCCTCGTTGGATGCCCAACTCCTCACTTTGCATTGAGGTTCTACTTGATGACTTGGAATGTGATGTCAGTCAACAGTCTGCTCAGCATATGTCCAATCCATCTCCGATTCCTTCAGTATATTTGCGGGGTGCTAGGTTCTTGACTGGTCCACAGAAGTACTACCAGAGTTCCTTGCTGTTTATCCTTTCCGGCCGGCTATCTGACCTTTAGTACCCAGCGGAGACAGCTGTTGATGATGGTATACAGCGGGCAGTTGGTAATGATTTTGGATGTGATGCACACGTTTTCGCTTGTGGAGTCTGTAACAATACGATTGTACTTCCTTTGGTTAGATGTTGGAATTAGAAACATTGTACACGACTTTTGTTTAGAACGATTCATGTTGGAATATAGATAACTTCCGAGTACAATCTTAAATACAGTGTGCTGTTGGTCGCTTCGTCTTTTCTCTCGTCTTCTCATTTTTCAGGAACCTCTTATCGTCATCCGAAGACTATTCTACAACCGGTGCACAGCTTCTACAGCAATAACTTGATTTTAGTGCTGAAAATTCAGATCTTGTTCGTTGTTCTATGCTATGATATAGATCTCCATACCCATTTTAGAGTAATGAATCCCTATCTTACTTTCCTATCCGACTGGACTTGACATACTTACATGTGCCGGCTGTAGTTAAAATGATGCGGTGCAGTGAAGAGAAAGAGACAACTAACTTAAAGTTTCTCCCATTCATAGTGACTGGTGCTTGTTCTGGTTGGTTAGGTATTTTTATCATCTCTTTCTTCCCTAAGTTCGCCTGAAATTTTGTCTTCGCGTACTTGTCGCTCAACTTGACGGTTTTATTTTATAAATCTTCAAATTTGTGCAAAATCACGCATAAATCACTTGCGAAACCCAGATATTTTATCGGACAAACGTATGCCTGCCTTCCCACTCCCCACAGTCTGCTGCACGATTTAATCAAATACAATTAGAAAGGTCATCAGTTGCAGTAGTTACACGACCTTATTGTATCTGCATCTCCACTTCAATGGCCTAAATAAGCTTTCCGTTGTGCATTATTTAGCGCTAGCACTGTTTTACAGCTTTTGAATGAAATTAATACGTGTCTATGGACAGAACTCCGTAGTGTTGAAGTAGTTTTCAAATTATTTCGTGGGTGGGTCAAAAGCATTCTTAAAGTCGACGAGGATGAGTCTCTGTTTGATGATGATGAGTAGTGGTGGGATTTAATCCACGCATAACGTGCTACTCCTGAATCCATCCTGTCTCGGCCGGAGTCTTCCATCCAGTGCATCTTTTCGTTTGTTCATGATGATACAGCTTAATATTCAGCTTGGGTGGACAAAATTAGGATCTCGCACCAGTTCTCGTGAAGGCTTAAGTTGTTCTTCTTCAGCAGTTTGACAAAGAGGTTTTCCCTTCAATCGTAGAGTACGTTTCCTTCTTTCCACACCTTCTGTCTTTACGCCCGTTTCCATTATGCTTGGTGGGTTCCAGCCGGAACCAAAAATGTGTAACAGTAAAGGTTGACGTTTAATCTTATGTGTTGATCGTTTGTTCACCCAGGTTTTGTTTATGGCAAGCAGGTAGATCTGAAATCTTATTCAGTGGGACGCTGTAGTAATCCAGAAGCTGTTGGTTTATTTCCTATCCTTATCCATGCGTTAATTTTATCTTCAAATATCAACCATTAAAGTACTATTAGCCAGCCAGCCAGCCTAAGGTTATCTCGAATAGTGCTGCCAACGGTTCCTACACAAAGTTGAATTCACTAACTTTAATGATATAATCTTTGATGGAGTTAAGTTTCCTAACCGAAATTATAGACCAGTGTTTCAAACCTACTTAAAACTTTGACACATGGTCATTGTAATGGTCCCCACATGACCAGCCTTTTCAAGTTATAAATTTGAAAAAAAAATAGGTTTTCGGTTAAAGTGAAGGAAAAAGATTTTAAGTGTAAGTTAACTATTGTAGATGTGTTTCTCATTAACTGATGGTGAAAAAGACTTATTGCAGAAGTTGTTCTTGGCAGAAACAGAATTTATAACTATTTTCAAGTTTGATATAAAAGCCACTCGATACACAGCTATTTATTAATCAAGGATCACCGAATGTTGGTAAACAGAGTATGATCTCACAGTGTAGAGATTATGCTGTGCCCCTTGTTGCACAACAACAAAACAGTCAATAATTTCTAGTGAATTAAATATGAACTTGACAAATATCATATGATGGACTAGTGCCGACCACCTCTCTCTCTCAATGACTTCAAAAGCGACAATCTCAACACACTGAACTCCAAGAATATAAACACTGAAATCCTGGCTTAAAAACCAAATAATTTTTGTAACAATACTTTTGAGTTTGAGTCACATAAACTGCTGTGACATACGAAATAAAGTTAAGTACAGAGGTACACAGGAGTTAGTAAGCTTTTCCTTAGAAGTTATACTTTAAACAATTCAAATGTTAAGCAAACATCTAGATTTTAAGTAGTCATGACCCGTATCAAGGAGACGCCTAGTAATTGCACTATTGTAAACGTCTGTTCCCTTCAGACGTAGGCTTTTCGGTACATATTCAGAAAATCTGAGGTGTGCCCTTCTTTCTGTTCTCCCAGTGAAACTGCTCCCGCAGATACACGTAAATTTGTATACACAGTTGCAGTTAACATGAGAAAGGTGTCTGTTGACGTTTGATTGCACCGAAAAGCACGTTATCCAAAAGACGGGAACCAACTAACCTTATAGGTTTCGGCTAGTGACGCAGTCAATCTTCTGTTGAGTACTGCTACAATATTTTCACTTTTAAAGTCGAGTTTAATGAAGACAGGCTTTTTCCCCACTGTGATTTGTTTGACATTTGAGCGTTCTCATCTTCCATACTTGTTAATGAACCTCTTAGGGGGTAATCGTTGTTTTTCAACATCTTTTTGAGAATCATAAATTCTTCCTGTAATTTCTCTGCAGGGCATATTCTCCTAGCACTATGGTACAGAGACTTGAACAGTGTTCGAATTTGGACAAAAACGATTAAAATGCAAGTACAGCGCCTTCATTCCATGTCGGCTTTTTGTGTATTGACCACTATTCTTATGTTGCAGTATCCCATACTTTCAAAACTGATGAGCTTATTTTATTATGATAAAACAATCTAATCGACATACTTTAACGTTAGATTTCTGTTGTTGTTGTTTTAGTTTGTTTTTTTAATAAAAACTAGTAATCAGTTAGTCAGGCGCTTCGTCTATACAAATTCATCAAAGACGAATTTTATCAATATAGACTGCCACATAGGTGGGTAACGTGTGATGGTGAGGCCATTAAATTATTTTTCTTTACTAAAAAGTTTCTAATTTTACTTTAGTATCAATTTTTTTTAAACAAGAAAAGTGGAATTCAAGACGTCATTCACTTTAGAACTGTTAATTGGATAACCCACTTAGCCTACTGTATTGTTTTGCATAAATAGAGAACGATGTGATCAATCAACTCAACTCAAATCAACTTTCTGTCACTTCTTCACAAATTCTTGTCGTCACCATGCGAATTTACAATGAAAAGTAACAAAAAAGAAAGTATGCATATATATATATATATATATATATATATATATATCAAAGACTGACTGATTTCTTCGCCTTGCTGTAGGAGTAGCAGACAAACACATAAGACCGTGCACATACAACATATAATAAGAGTATTCCGTCACAATTCCAGGAAGTTGATGAATACAATATTTTGTTTGTTTGTTTGTTTTTGCTTTTCATGAAAAAAATTTCTTTAGGACCAAATTAAAACTAAGAAAAAACGGTATTTTCACTATTTATTATTATAACAGTCGATATAAAAACTGATAACTTGACTATTGAGTGAGTAACGAAACATATTTCTGAAAATACTCTTTCTGTGCATAACTCTTGAAGAAACTGGATCCATCAATAGCAAATCATGCATGGAGTAAACTGCAAACGCTACGCATCATCAAACAGTCAACTGACTGACTCAGCTCCATCGACTTTGAAAAGGCCATTATTCATGGTATCGAACGTGAGGTAACTAGGCAACGGCTTCACAAACAACGATTACCCAAAAAGTTAATACACCTCATTCAACATCTATATGATAACATCACATTCTACACATAATTCACAACAAAAAGTTCAGAGAAGTCTTTGAATTGAAGACTGAAGGCAAAACAAGGTTGTGTGACTACTTTAAACGATGGTATTCGATGATAACCGTGGTGAACTGGATTGTGCGAAAGACTGTGGAGAATAAGAAGGCAGACATACGTTAGACCGATAAAAAGGCTCCAGGTGACCTGGACTCCGGGAATGATTCATGTCTATTGCTAAACAAACTCGAAGACCTACAGGCTAAAATCAACATGTTGGCATAAGGGGCGAATAAAGACAGGAATTCAAGTAAACATAAAGACGATGGGAATGATGACAACAATTAACATCGACAGGAGAAACCTACAGGAAATCACCCCTTTCCCTCATTTGGATAGTGTCATTTGAACCGCAAGAGACACGGATGAAGATATTCCAGCCAACTAGGTTTGGAA